ACAAAATCCACTAAACTAAAATTCAAACATCCTATGCTCCAGCTAAGGGCGAAGTGAGTGAGTTCACTGCCGCGCTAGCATTTTTTACATAAACCACATGGGCCACAGGCCTTTTATTGGATATTATTAAAAGATTGCATTTTGCGGAATAGGACAATAGTTACATGAGATTCGTAGGCTCAAGGCACTTGTACACAGAAAGATAATTTGACAGGGTATAGGGAATTGGTAAGTACGCATAGCAATTAAATTAATTAAAAACCATAATTTTAAATACTAACGGAATAACAGTATAAGAATACAAAATACAAAAAGAGTGTATTGAATGGATTACATGTTTATGAGGTTGCTGCTTTGTATTGTGCATGTTTATGTAGTCTAGGGTTCAAAGTTTAGTTCGTTGAATTGTCCTATCTTTGAAGGTTAACTTTCGGGAAGAAATCGTATTTACGTCTCCCGGTATTACTAAAGTCCCATTGCTGTTGCCATTTTATGTTAGCTTTTTGAAGCAACTCCTTCTTCAAGTCAGAGGGAGGTGCCGGAATATTGATTTCCTCTGATTTTATGTTGATACTTGCCTCTTTGGCAAGTTTGTCGGCTGTTTCATTGCCTATCAGACCTGCGTATGCTCTGACCCATACTAGTTGTATGTGCTTATGGTCATTGCTTTGCAGAAGATGTTGTATCTTGACAATGAGTAGAGAGGCGTAGTTATGATTTAAGACTGCCAGAAGAGTGGACATACTGTCTGAGTAAATAGTGATGAAATGAGAGGGTGGAGCTAGAGATTATTCAATATCGATGTTATGGCTAATGCTTCTGCTTGGAAAACGCTGTTCCAGCATTGTAGATGAGTTTCTACCAGCACAAAGCCCAAAACAGAAGTACCTTGTTTTTCAAAATTTTCTGCGGCACGAAATAAACGGCCTGGTTGCCAAAATCCCAAAATTTCGCTCCCCACTTTCACAAGCAAATTACGCTTTTTGCTTATGTATCTGTCCGAGCAAAACTCGCCCCACCCAATATCAAATGAAAGCCAAAACGGAATTTGAGTACGCCAAAACCTCGCGACATCTGAGAGTATCCTCTTCGCCAAACCCAAAATTTCGTCAAGGACAAATACATACACTCCCATGAAAGTAAGGTCAAAAGCAAAGATAACTGTTTTAGAAGAAACGAGAATGGAAGGAGGAGGAAAGGGGAAAAAAGGCGCGACGAAAGTAATTTGGATCCTCTTATCTTTACAATTTACAAAAATATGTCCATGGTTCCTTCAACATTTTTCATTCCATTATCCTTTTTTCTCAGTTAAGAATGAACAATAACTTTGAAGTACTCGTTTCCAAGCCTTTTATGTACGAAAATAAAAATTTAGTGAAATAAATACCCCATTTAATAAAATAGAAAATATTATGATTATTGAAAAATGATCAAGGTCCTCGTCGGGACTCTATCCACGGACCTCTCGATATGCCCGAGTGTGCTGACCGATATACAACGAAGGCACGCGAAGAAAGCAGTAGAAATATCTTATAAGGTAAAAGAATTCAGTGCTTTCTTGAATGAAAAAATAGTTATCATTATTTTTAGTTATTAAAGCGTCTACGTTATGGCGGGCCCGTATTATCCCAAAGCATGTAAAATAAATTAAGTCTAAAGTGGTGACTTATCATGATATTTGTAATGAAACTGTCGTATCATTTGTCATCTTCATGATTAAACGGGAGAGTTAAATTCCCATCTTTCATTTTTGTCTTCTTTAGTAAAATGTTTTTTCCTCGGTTTCAAATACATTCTTGTAAATTTTAATATATTAAAGGATTCAGTGTGTTAAAAAATAAATTTAATATTCCACTTAATGACGTAGTTTTTCTGCTGACATTTTTTACGATAAGAGCATGGTGACGAATTATCAAAGGAATCACAAATTTAAAGTTTTTAATTTTAATTACACAGTTTTAATTTTAGTTTTTAATTAAAATATCCATAATTAATAAATTTCAAACACTATTTAAAAGTATTTTTAGTTAATGTCAGGAGTGTTTAAAACTCTTTTATACTTCAGTTTATGGATTATGTATTAGCGTACAATCATAATAAATAAAACCTTGTTTTATGAATGCACCTTTTTTTTTTGTGTGTGTACATCAGACGGCTAATTTTCAGACGCTTTACGAAATGACTTTCTTTAAGGTGATGTATAGACTCCTATATAGACTGGAAACTACACAAAATAAATAGTTGTAGCATTAAATCTCGGAAAGTTTGTTATTTTTTCAATGAAGAAAAATCGGAAACATGACCGAGAAAATGGAAATCGTTCAACGCTGTTTTATGAAAGTGCTCAATTTCGAGACTTAAGATTTATTATTCAGACTGTGAAAAGAGTAATCAAGTATTACCACAGAAAGTAAAGCAGTAAGCACATATATATATACATATATATATGCGCCCACTGCCATATACATATATATGTATGTATGTATATATATATATTTCTATAGTTTCTAATTATATATATATATATATATACCTCTAAGAAACAATTTGTTAGATAAACTAGCAAAACTCTTTCTCAGAATAAAATGTGACGCTATTTACACTGGTGTGCAAAAATTAAGGACGAGACGTTTTTTTCAATATAACTTTGTACAAAAGCTTTCCAAATCAACACATTTAATACCGTAAGATCCCCAATACGTAAGGACATGAGTAATGTAAGCAACACTTACTAAAAGAGAAATCAGAGGGATAAAAAGAAGCTTTATTGAAAAAGTAGCATGGAGCGCAATGCGACTGAAGGCTGAAACATCCCTGTGATGGGTGTCCAGCAAGAAACATCCGGTCTTTAATAGGGGATATGATCTCCCCTGACTGCTAGGCAGGTTTCACAGCGTCTGCCCATGCTAGGAATGAGGGTGTCAATGAGTTGATGAGGCATTGCTGCCCATTCGTCTTGCAGCGCCAATCGAAGCTCCGGAATCGTTACTGGTGGTAAGGTACGAGCTGCCAAGCGTCTGCCTAGAAAATCCTATACATGCTCGATGGGATTGAGACCCGGAGATCGTGCCGGCCAATCCATACGTTCAATATCCTCACTCTCTAAGCGCTGTTCGGCAGCTACTGTGCGATAACATGGTGCATTGTCGTCCATGAAAAGGAACTGCGGACCCATAGCGCCTCTAAAAAGACGCACATATGGAAGAAGAATCTCGTTACAATAACGGGTCCCGTTGACTGAACCTGCGTCAAAGATGTGAAGGTCTGTACGACTACCAAGCATGATGCCTCCCCAAACGAGAACACCGCCACCTCCATACCTGTCCCTTTCAATGATGTTCGAGAGATGATTGCGGCTTCCCCGCTCTCTCCAGATGAGTATGCGATGAGAATCGCTACTCAGACTGAATCTGCTCTCATCTGTAAAGAGTACTCGTCCACATTCATTGTCTCTCCAATTCAGGTGTTCCCGGCACCACAGAGAACGCCTTCTCCGATGGGCAGGCGTTAGAGGTACACACCGTACAGGGCGTCGTGCAAACAGACCACCACCGTGCAGTCTTCTGGCCACGGTAAAACGCGATATCGGTCGTCCAGTCGCCTGTATCGTGTGTCTCGCGATTTCTCCCGCTGTCTGCCGTCTGTTTCTTCTGGCCTGTAAGGCAATATACCGGTCATCTGCGGGTGTGGTTCCTCGTGGACGGCCACTACTAAACCCCGGATAGCTGTTCCTGTAGTTTGAAATTGTCTCCAAAGTCGTGAAAAGATGCTGTGAGCAATTCCGAACTCTGCAGCCACACTTGTCACACTGCAGCCTTCCTCCAACTTCCCAATGATTCGACCTCGGGTAAAAGCATCCAGATGTCGTCTAACAGATTGTTTATTCGCCATTTCTCGCTGAGGCAGCAACTCGGTGTGATTTTAACTGCTATACGGCGTGCAATCTCTTTGCCAGAAATACTGATCTTACACCGACAACATGCTTTATACTACTCAGACACTCCCCCATTACGTCTACCTTCATATCTGCGCATGTGCTACCGTACATCACCTTACTTAATCTCCTGATTGGTCTTTCTGTCCGCTCTGCCTCTTCGTTCAGCTGATATGCTAATTTTTCGACTTCGTCCTTAATGTTTGCACACCAGTGTATTATAAGCTCCCGAATGCTTGAATAAACTGTAGAACTTAAATTTCTATAAAGAATAGAACTCAATGGCGCATAAAATATTGGCTTCTAGAAATATTTTCAAAACGGAAATAAGGAATGTCTTGCTCTCTTCTGAATATTTTTCGTCTATCTTAGATAAATTATTATGAAATTATTATGAATCAAAGATATTATGAAAATCACAGTTTAAGTAAATAATTTTGTTTAGATAACATAATTTTTGTTCTTGTGACTTATCTAACTTTCTTGACAGTAACGTCAGATCAATCGCACGAAATTTATTGTGGTACATATACAAAGATTTTCCTGACACTGACCCATACTCAGGATTTTAAAATTTCAATGAAGTAAAAAAAAATGAAAACCTGTTTCCAGTGCAATGAACCACTGAAGTCTGCTAATTCTTTGAAGCATGCGGATTAAATTTAAGTTTTTATTCAGCAAGTAAAATAAACTAAGAGACACTGACAGACGCCTATATTTAATGCATGCCAAAAGACAGATGTGTATATTTACTGTATGTCAAAAACTCTTCTACTTCAATAAATGTTTTTACGTACCTAACATATATTTATTCAAAATAGAAAATCGGATAGCAGCCTGTTTGGAGCATGCATAGTCCTATTCTACAGCAGCCAGAATTCGATATGCATTCCTGAATTATTTTACTGTTGAAACAATTCAGTTACTAAGATGGAGTTTCATAAAAAACAAAAACAAAAACAAAACAAAAAAAAAAAAAAAAAAGCAACCAGTTTCAGCTTATTATTACAGTACTTTTCCATGTCTGATAAATTATTTCTGAGCAAGACATAGAAGTCTTACCCACCTAGTCAACTTTCTTCCGATAGTCCTTAAAGCGGTGTACGCTGATGCAGATACTCCAGTTGATGCAGGGAAGATGACTTTTATTGCAGCTTTTTCGTTAACTAAAACAAAGCAAACAATACATTATAATCACTTCAAATTTCAATTAAAGAAAAATGTAGGATCGATTTATTTTTAAGTCATATGCCGAGTTTCTGTTTAAATTGAATCTCAGATGTATTTCTTCTGAGAGGACTAATAATTCCATAAATGCAGTCCTCAAGCGGCTATTTTTACTAGGCTGGAGTAACACTTTGTTCAGTGACATCTTACTTCTGCGAAACTCATTGTTTATTTTCTTTGGTTCACTGCGGATTAAACTTTCGGGATCATATCTAACATTACATTAGTGCCTAAATCTCTTTTTTTTTTTTTGTTTTGTTTTGTTTTAACTATTTTTCTATACTAAAAATAATATTGTGCTCATTTTAATGTGTCATTACGGTTTTCCCAAAGCAATTGCAAGAATTCTTAGTCCCCTACTTAAGCTTTAATTATTGTTATCTAATTTGAATGACTAATCATAAAATCTAAATTCCTCAAAGGATATTTTAACAAAATTCTTTGACAGTCACATATTTTAATGTGTCTAAAATAATACTTGAATTATTGCCACTGCTAAAACTCGGCATTTTGCAAAACATTAACATCCAGTTTCTCTAAATATATTGTCGTAATATTAGATTTCCCCATTCTAAGACATAATCAGAATTTTGGAATGAGAACTATGTTTGTCATTGGTTTTTATATTTTGTTTTCGTTTTATAGGTTATGAAAATGAATACATTTTATGTAAATTTAATATTTCGCACAAATTTCTCATGCAAGGTTTAGCTGATTATTTAGAATTCTGTTCCAAATGTTATTTATCGAATTATGCTTAGCATTCCTGGTCAATGTGGCAAATTTGTTGCACTAGCCATAAATATTTTTCCAGTGGTTGGAATAGTGTTTGGTTCCATTAGTGGAAACCATTTCTTATTGTAATCATTAGATACATATTAAAGCCTGGTTCAGAAATGATATTGGGTTTTCCGCGACATCTTTAGTTTCTGAAATATTACATGAACATATTAGCAACCAGAATGGGGAGATAGCACAATATTTTTAATTTCAGTTTAAAATATGCTCATTTATGCAATGACAGTAAATTAGACTTAGTTCCAAACTATAACGATATCAGTATGCAAATATCAGATCATTCAATATATTTAATGCAAAACGATCTTAAGTATCAAAGCATAAATGAGTGTTTTGTGTAGACTTGAAAAGGATAAACATTATTATCTGCATCAAACTTCTCATAGACATCTTAACATGTAAAATGTCTATGCATTTTTCATTTCGGGAAGACTACCGAAGAATTGTCAATGTAGCGGAAAAGGATTTTGAGAAAACACATGATATCAGCTAAACAAGTTGCTATTAATTAACGTTTTATTGATAGTGACGAAAAGTGTATTACTCATCACATTAGGCCTAGTGAAGCAATATCTGGAATACTCCAGTAAAGAAGAATCGGGTTTTTGCTGTTTATCTAATAAATTAGATAATGAGAAATTTAAAGCATGACTTTTTAATGTAATTTTAGTTTAGACAGATTAGAAAATATTGACATTCTATAATCTAAATAAATACAATTAAATAGAATTCCTGTTTCATTTAAAAATTCATCCACATTTCATGTTAAAATTCCTTAGGAAACATAATTGGCAGAACTATTCTCAATTAGTAAAGGACATTTTGTACAATAAGTTTAACTGTATAATGAATGTTAATGTTTACTTAAATGGCTTTTCAAAAACTTGAGTGAATAGATGTTCTTGTTTTTAAGGCTTAAACTAAAACTTAATAGTTATTTATATTAAATGCTTTAGTTAGTTCCATGATGACATAAAATTTATGTGTAACATATATTAAAGAAAACGGAACATACAAAAGATTATAATTACTACTGGAGCCTCAAGTGTGACTCTAGTTAAAAGGTAATTTGGAAAGATGAATGTTACCTTGAGAAAATCAACATGCGGAAAAATGAAATGCGTAAAGTATTGTTGCGTGCTTACGGGTTCGTAATAAAATGAAGCGTAAGTACGATGAAAAGTGAATAAAATTTATTCTTATCAGAACAAATAAATGAAAATAATAAAATTTTCTCAGAGGTATTCGTACAATATCATAATATCTCACAGTGGTATTATTTTTAAACTACTAAAACATTGAATAGAATTCAAAACTCTGAGAAACATAGAGAAAAAGAGATTTCCTAAAGTTAATTCGATCTCGCCATTGATTCGATACAGTAAACAACAAAAGTTTTCTAAAACAACGCAATTGAGATGTTTTCCTCCAGCTTTTATAAGCTTTTTAAATGCACGAAAACATTCTCGTATTTTCTCGGTTTTTCTGGATAGCAAGAGTACAGTTATGAGATATCTATTTATTAAAATGTTAAATGCGCGTGCTGTTGTATTTTAATTTTTCCGGCGTAGCTTCCTTTTCGAACAAGTCTCGTGCTGCATTGCATGGGGAAATAAAACAATTTTAATTACAGATTCTATTAAAAATAGCTGAATAAATACAAAACCCTAACAGTATTATTGCTTGACCTTGTAAAAAAAAATCTTAATTATAGAATCATGATTAAAGATTTTCACCCGACGGTTTGGATTTTCTACAGTACTATTATACCCGTTAAAATTTTTAGTTGATGAATTAGTTTCTAATGCTTTGTTATTTTTAGCCTTTAAAACGCTTAGATTTTTAGTTGTCCACATTTCTATTTAGAAATCATAAATCTCTTGAATTTTCTCTTTCAGAAAATTTATTTCCTCAGTAGTTTCATATTTATTTCCTCAATAATAGATGTAGTAAAAAATACATTAAACTTATGAGCATTCTAAATTCGGTGCAACAGACATCTGATTTGCCGTTAATGCAAAAATCATTCTCTTTTCATTTTGCTGTACAACGCGTTGTTTTTATATTCTTTGAATCACTGGTTTAAAGAGATTGCTTTTATTAAACATAAACATCTATGCTTTTCAAGTTATAATGAAGAATGGAGCGGAAACCTAGAAGGATATTTGTACTCTTGAATAAAGCAAAATTTCTCTTTTGCACAGTACAGTTTCTCTTTCTTCTTGATTGTAATTAAGTATTAATTATTTTACAGAGTTGAATAAATTTCCAATAATAATTCAAAATATCTTAAAGTTGATCAAAAAGCAATGAGAGTTAAAATAAACAGTAATGTATTGTGGCTTTTGCCGGAAGAATTTCTGTTCGGAAACATTTTATTTAATCTTTATTTATATATATACTGCTGAGTACTTGCAATCGTAAAACCCTTGACCTTGTTTTTTTATTTCTATTGCAGGTTTCCATTATTTCAGTTGAGTGCCAATCAAAGGTTCAGAGGGTAATTCTGCTGAGCACTAACCGCTTACGAAGGGTCGTCTCTCAATGTGGACGGTTTTGTAGGTTTCGCACATAACGTAAATACGAGACTGTTTTTCTCATTAGATTAACTGTTTACAGTTCCAGAAGTAGACATTATCACATTAATTCGTGCAATTAAAGTGAAAATGTAAGCAACATTTAATCATTAACGGAATTTTGCTTTTAATCCTTCTATAAAATAAGAAATTGTTTGAGTCTTAGTAATAACATCCGATATTTACCAAAACGGATTTGAAACGTAGTTTTCGTTAAGTATTTTATGGAATTTTTGCTACTGTAATTTTGGATAATTACGATTATTTCTGGAAATAAACATATTTATTTCATTACAGTTACGTTAGAACAGTGGTAAACTATTTGATTTTGCTTTAGATTGTTTGAACAGTATTCTAAGATTGAACACTATGATGTCAAGAAAATTTACACTTTCACAATATTTTTCGTTTTATTAAAAATTAACAAAAATCATTAAAAAACTAAAATCCTCAAATGGTAAATTAAAAGAAATTTTGGATTTACTTCTTGGAGTTTCTCATGATAAAATATGCGATGGCGGTGGGAAAATCGTCCTGTCAACCCAATGTACAAAGTCTATCTGATTTCATTCAGGGTTATGCCTGAAACCTTTGCAGCAGCTATACGTTCTAATATAGGAATCTCATCAATGGATGAGTGGTTAAGAATGCTGAATGCTGGGAGTACGACCCAAGTAACACTCCAGACGAATGGAGCACGGGTTCAATGGCTGTTTTTTGTGGTTTCCTCCTTGTCCCCTTCCTTAAAAAGTCCTCCATGAAGGGATTCTCTCTCCTAGACCAATACTCGTCGTGTGATTTCCATATTCAAGTAACATAATCTAACCGCATATGTGAATGCAAAACATTTCTAGCAATCTTTAAAAACTTGGGATTTGCTCAGGGTAAGTAAACTGTACTGTAAAGTATATATATTTCCAAAGTTTGGGAAGCGAGAAAGGAAGGTGGTTTTTAGGACCTTTCTGCTGGAGCTATGGGCATTTTTGATCCTCTAGAACTATTACTCCTCGTGCGTACTGTTAATAGTGCGTACTGTTAAATAATCTTCCCCGTTTAACAAAGTTCTGAAATTACGGGACTAAATTTAATCCAAATCCCACATCGCCATGAACCGCAACTGTTAATGTTTTTATTTTATTAAAATCGTGTTATTGTTAGAACTTGAGTTAGAAACTCATTTCAACCCTGTATCACAACCGGGATTTTGCGTAGCAGTTTCGGCCATTACACCACAATACTTATAATATTCCTTGACGTACTTTTACCCCTAATCTTATTGTACTGAAATTTTTAAAAATATTTATGTAATTGTTTTTTTTCATTATTTGCACATAGTTTATTTCCTCACAGGCTAGTTTACTGGTAAATTGTATTCTCTTGATTGTTTTTATTTTTATTCATGCATTTAATTATTATTTGCACTTTAATTAGCATTAACACTTCATTATTTTATGTTTCGTTGCATTTATTATCTGAAAATTATTTTACTCATATTTTTCTTTAACCAACCAGCTATGGCAGATATTGTCACGGTTAAGAAATTTTCCAAATAGTAGATTAGACCTTAATTTTATTATTTTTAATTGAGCTCTGATTAGCCTTACCTACTGCTGAAGTGTTTGATCCTTCGAAATACGGGTCTTTAGTTCACCCCCTTCGCTCCTCCGGTGTCTCTCTTCAAAATTGCGGTCTTGACTCAGTCACCCCTAGATGTCCCTGGGGCACGCGCGTGTTAGGCTGAACTACCGTTAGATATCGACTCAATCTTTTTCAGATATTGTAATGTTAATATTACTATGTATTCTTAGTGGAAAGTAAGTTTTTTAAAGAGAAATATATTGTAAATATTACCAGTAATTTATCCGTGACTACTTCTCGTTTGTTATGTTCTTCCTATAACCGTAAACCTCGGAAATTATATAACTCGCATAATTTTCTCCTCTCGGTTTTCAGACGATGGAGAGAAATACATGAGAAAATACGGTACTAACGAAATTTTATAAATCTAAATGTTCCCAAGATATTCCGATTTCATTCGTAATTTTCTTATTATTTTTCTAACCATCTGAAACTTTTTGCTTGTTGCCTTTTAATGCCACTCAGACACTTCAAATGAGACTTGAATGAGGAAAGACTTGAAATGAGGGGGGGGGACGAAAACGTGAATTAGCAGGAGCGAAATAAAGAAAGCTGATGGCATATCACCTTTCTTATTGCCAGTTTTTTTAATTTTTTTATTTAAAGAAAAAGAAATCCTCGTGCACCGCAAAGTATCACACGAGACGTACAAATCGTAAGTAAAAAAGGCAAAATTGTAAGTAATATCATCAGTTTTCGACAATACAATGAAATCATACACAAAGATTAAAAAAAAAGTAAATACAAAAGTATAAAAATGTATAAAGAAATCATTAACTATGTTTAAAATAAAAGTAAACAAAATCGTTGAAAGCTCGGTAGGCCGAAGATACAAAATCATAACATTTCGGCGGCCAATGAATTCCAACGAATTTTAATCTACATTTCAATAGATTTCTTGCTTTATCAAGCAATGGCAGTCAAAAAGCAGGTGGAAAACACTTTGCTGAACGCTAAGACTGCAATTACACAAATTGGAAGATGCCAGCTTAAATCGTTCAAGATGAACATTAAACTTACCATGTCCAGACAAAAATAGCGTAATTTCAAATTTAAGCAACAAGTTCTTACTTTTCAGTCTTTCAAAAATAGTTGGGAAGAATGTTTTGTAACAGATCCCTTATCAGAAGAGATATAATCACAGTTCCACCCTTCAGTCATTTTAGCTTTGAATGTTTTTTTTTAAATAAGATTTTGGAATATTTACATCAACATTAATATCATTTTTAGTTGCATTCTTAGCTAGCCAATCAGCTCTCTCGTTTCCATAATTACCTGAATGACCACGGACAAATATAAAAAACACTGAAATACCCTACTTCTCCAGCTCTCCGATAAACTGCTTTATATTAACAATAATATCATTACATAAAGAGGTATTTTTAAGAGATTCCAGGGAAGAGAGTGAATCCGTACAGATTAAGTAGCTGGAACCACGTCCATCCTGGCTAATTATCCACTTGATTGCAAAATTAATACACAGAAACTCAGAAATACATACAGTACATTCATTTCTAATGCGAAATTGGTGACACTAAATTTCAATATCATCCTCAAAAATAACATAAGCAAAAACAACTTTATCATGAATCCTACTACCTTCCATATACAACACAAATGAGAATGAATTTACATCAGTGTCCATACTACTATAGAATCTGTACCGGTTGTCTTACAGAAGGATGTGGTAGAACAGACAAGAGCAATAAACGATCAAAATGAGAATTGGAGTAATTTGCAAGACTATTCTTGTAATCTATAAAGGTCAGAATAAACAAATTCAGGGTGGAAATCCGGCAAGAGAGAAAACAGCATTGTAACGAATAGTTTGGTAACCCCTTATAACTCGCAGCAAAATTCGTCTTTGAACTCGAAGCAGGCGTTTACAGTTAATTTTCTTTTTTATTGCCACTTTAGAACTTAAATTCCAGCTTTTCAATAATTAGCATGTTTTGAATTAAATTATTATATACGTCTGAGATAATTTAAATTAATAATTATTTTACATAAGTGAATGTAGGTTTAATTTGCTATCTTTCGGAAATCCTGAGGAGCAATAAAAGTACGTCTTTCACATTAAGTGGTTACTTTTTTCTGGGTTATATTTTACTATGCTTACAAAATTAGATTTAGCTTCTTTGTTGACAACTAATATTAAAAAGAAGTACGCAATTTGATACTCTAAATTAACGCTAAGTAAATTTCAGTCGCTTCATTTTACTGCTCTGTATTTATATACAGCTTTAAATTTTAATCTGATTGCCTATTGGAGTATGTGAAAGCATAGGAAGGCTGTCCACGGAAAGGGTGTCTCCATGGAGAATTTTTAAAGAGACGTGGCTTTTATTTGCACTGCACATCTCAAAAAACACGAAAACATCGAAGTAGCTATTTCGCTTGCCAAGATCGGAACCCAGGTAGAAATATGATCCATAAGACGTCTTACAAATTCGGCAATTGTTGAGTCAAATTTTTAATATGGATTAAAATTAAATTTATTCAAGTTGGAAAAAACCGCAATGTAGTAAATTTAAAAATTTTGCGACCTTTATAGAAACTATTATGTGCATTTTTTTAATCATTTAAGGTTCGCTTGCAGATAAGAAGAATAACATAAACTTATTGAAAAACCTACTCCATCATTAATACATGGAATTTCAAAAACGAAACTTGAAGTTAATTTAACATTTATTGGAAAAAAATGGGAATTGCTGTGCAACTGTGCCACTAAAGATGATCAATTCTGTTTTCATAATTATTATCTTTTTACTTCTTTCCATTTATAACTCTGGTTATTACGAAGCGATTTCAGATGTTTCAAGAACCATGAAAAGAAATGATAGGAGAAAGCCCGAAAGTTGTGAATGAAGAATATTGTAACGAAAATACCAAAAAATATCAGAACTACGCCGAGACTACCCGTCAACGGTTGTTCAGCACAGGTTCTTAATATACGTATATAAACCTTAATAATAATTAGACGCAGTGAGTCTACTATTAGAATATTTGTTTGCAATTTCAATATATATAGAAAAAGAAATAAATCTTATCTACTTGGATTCTGCACATGCTTCTTGACGAATAAACAACTTTATTAATACTTGACATCAGTATTTTTACAGTTTCCAAAGCAGGAACTAGGATATTATTCAATAAACAGAACAAAAAATACAATATATAACTCAATTCAATTCATATCAACATTAAATCCATAGAATACTTCTATCACTAAGCAAACACGGATCAGAACGTGCATGGCAACGCCGAAAACTGATGCCATCCACAAAAAAAAAAAAAAAAAAAAAAAAAGGATACATAAAACTCGCGTCATTAAAGCATTAATAGTCTCGTGTTCATTCAATAAAGTTATTCATAAAACTATCTCGGGGATATCTTCCGAAGTTTATTGACGGCATTACGTAACAAATATTGTTTATTAATTGAGAAAGGAAATTATAATTTTGATAAAGATAAGCTTTCACCCGAAAATATTTTTTTCCGGAAGTATTCCATTTAATTCTTTATAATGTATATTGCTTTGCTAGCAATATACTATAAATAAACTGCGCCGCCCAGGCGGCATATTGAATACTGATACTGACTACAATAAAAAAGGTGGCGTGTTCGAATCCCGGAAAATGAACTGAGTTTTGTAAGTGTATGGTGTTTCTGGCCTACCAAGCAGCCGAGTGGTAAATTCCCTGAACATTGATAGTTCAGTCCAAGGTTCGGAGCCCGCAAACGGGCTGGCTGCATGGCATTTTCGTAGTTTTCCCCATGTGTTTACGTTGTTATACGAGCCAGTTTCCTTTAGTCCTATAGAGGGGCATCTCTCCTTTCCGTGTAGTGATTTAGGGCGGGCACGTCAATAATAATGATATAGTGTCTCTGGGGCACGAAGCAATCAATATATATGGAACTCTTAAATTCTGTCGAAAAGTTGTTCGTAAGGGAAAAGTGTGTGGGGGGGGGTAACCGGACAGTCGCCCAGGATGGTCTCGGACCTGCCGACTGGAGCGGAATCTTAACAGTTATCTAAGTAATACTTTAAATACCTATGATATTACAAAGGTACTGACTTAGCGTCTATTTGCCTTATTAATAGCTTTATATAAACTTCTATATTTTTCTTTAATGTTATGATTACATAAACAGTTTGCTAAAGAAACGATTCACAGAGATTTTATCTGAAATCCCAACTTAAACGCATGTGAGAAAATTTACAACTTCAGTTGCGACATATCACCGAAGAAACTGTCTTTCAAACAAATGTCGTCTATTGAATGGCTTTGAAGTTTTCTTTCGGAAAATGCTGTGAAGTGACAGATCGTAATTCTCTCTTATGAGCATCAAATACTTTTTTTTTTTTTGATAAAATTTTGCAGGTAAGTGTTGTAATGGATGGAGTTCTCAAATGAACGGGATTTGCTAATTCCTCTTAAATATGCCCTTTAAATGACTCAATTTAGCATTATTATGCTACACACATACACACCAAAGAAAACAAAAATGGAAACAAATGTAAAACATTTATTCATTGGTATTTCAACTATTCCAATTCCGGTAACGTTGTCGTTTCATTATCGTTTTTGGAGTTTTCTTTGTGTGTAACGTGATTTTGAGTCAGTTTTTCTTAACATGCTCTTTGCGAATGTATCCATACTCTTAGGTACATAGCGACTGCCTTTGTTGCGATAATTTAACGAAACAAAGTGAAAGCAAATAAATTAATATTAAGCATTGTAATTTGTAATTTCTCTTTCAAATACATAAAAAAGACCATATTCAATAAAAATATTTCTGATTGTCAATACTATCTGGGAGTTTATGTACATCATTTTATTTTGCAATTGCTGTCTATTACTTTGAAATGATGTTTAAATTTTTTTTTTAAAGCAGGCTACTTTTATCAGAAAAGGTACAAAATGTAATAATTGAGTGATCTCTGTTCTCAGTGTTAGTAACAGCATGGAAATAGGTCAAGAATAAAAGTACTTGCAAACATTTAGTACAAGCTTTAATTTCTTATTATAATAGTACAGGTATATTTCTTTATAAGTTCACAGCTACTGCATAATTATCGTTAAAAGGGTTTTTTTACTTCAGCTGAATTGCTCAATAAAACTGAATATAACTATTTAGAAATTAAGATTCATTAATTTTTTTTGTGCATAATTTTTCATTGTAATTTAAACACTGAATTGAATTTTAATGTTAGATGTTTCAATAGTGTTTCCAAATAAGTAAACGATTCAATAAGTAAATAGCAAATTTTTCAGCTTATTATTTTCCTAAAACAACATTTTGCTTAATAAAATCTTTACAAGAATAACGGCCCACCAGCGGCCAAGCGGTAACGTTGCTGAACGCTGGTAGTTCGGCCCGAGGTTCGAATCCCGCGAACGGGCTGGCTGCATGGGCGTTTTCGTGGTTTTCCCCATGTGTAACGTGTATACGAGCCAGTTTCCCTTAGTACATCCTCCACGAAGGCATCCCTTCCCTTAGGCAGATAGCCCTCGAGGCTTTGCCATAATCATACACACACACACACACACACACTACAAGAATAACATAGTTGTTATAGTAAATGTAAATATTTGACTTCGAAAATATAGTATTATATTAGTTCAATTGGAAACATAAAATATGTAGATTAAATATGTCTAATTTTGAATCTTCAAAAAATTATTTTGATAAATTAATTTATTTCTACCGCATTTAACTTCTCTATAAACTTTTAGCATGTTTCGCTTTAAAAATATTTTTCCGTATCATGGAAAATTTAAAGATGTATTTTAGTTTTTCCTTTTCTAGAGGAAACGTTTTTTTTTTCCCTACTTACATGGTTAGACAAAAGCCATAATGTTTTTATTTCTATTGAATGTATTTTATTATGAATTTCACGCAGTATAACACCATGAATATAATAATAACCATCTCTTTCACAATGGCAAGGCTTCTCTAGAGCTGCCTCTTGATAAGCGTAACAAATACGCAAAAAAAAAAAAAAAAAAAAAAAAAAAAAGTATATTCCTTAACTTGTTATTCATTATATTATAAACGTTCATCATATTGTGAAATATTTTGTCTTAAAAACATTTTAATTCAATAACAAGAACTAAAGAGATTTATAAGTATGTATATATATAACCAAAATTTATAACTACCTTAATCGAAATTTGGAATTCATACAGCCTTTTTGATAATTTCATACATTAATAGTTTGTCTTTAAAAATAAAATTTTTTTGAATAATATGAAATAAAGAAAATTATAAATATTGCTAAGAAATGCCTAGCCGCGGTAACATAGCTACCCCCGCAAAGCGGTTTTAGGTTTGCTAGAAAATGGAAAGGGATTGCAAGTTGCCATATTTGGCTCGAAATGTCCCATTTGGCGATATACCATAGACGGATAGAGAACCTTCTGGAACGAATTCTTACTGGTTTGGCCCAAAATGTTCTCGAACGCAAGCCAAAAGTTATATAAACCCTGCTAGTACGCCGAGAGTAAGTCACTGTCTAGTCTAGCGAGTTGATCGTCAGTCTCTTAGTTGATCGCGATTCTATCGAGTGTCTCGTAGTCTGTTGAGTTTTACCTTCAGTCTACTGTTGAGTTGGTGCATCGTTGAGCCAATCGTCGAGTGCATCGCCAGTTGTAGCGTGGAGAGTACGTTGCGTTCCGAGAATGACCGACCTGAGTCGGGAGCTGTAGTCCCGGGTCTTTGCCGTGAAGCTGTCATCACCGTTATAGCCTGAAGCTTGTGTTGCTGAATGTTTCAGCGTGTTTGTCGTAGCTTTTAGACGACTATAAACGTGCTTTTGGAGCTGCCCTTAGTAATACCGGGTAATAAATTGTCTCCATTCTTCATCAAGTGTTGTCGTTAATAACTCCAAATCCACAAATGCGTAAGAAAAATTAGGAATAAATAGTTTCAATCACTACTGTGTAGATATATGCCATTTAATGCTTTAATAAAGTTTTGTTTTTATATTTTTTATTGATCTATTTCGTTGAAAGAGCAGACCGATGATGAAAGTTTAATTATGCTCCCTAATGCCTAAAACCTGATGATGTATTTAATATAGCGCTTTTTTTACTTAAGTTTGTTTTCCGATGTTTCAAATTTTATTTTCATTTAAAACTTTGAAAATACGAAAAGAATTAAATAAAAAGTATCCTTCACTCAAAGCAAAATCAAGGAACGGGAATTTAATAATGCTATTTCCGCTATCTGTTTTAGCGACAGAAATTAAATGTAGATCTTGTTAAGTTTCCTGACGTCAAAAATTATTTTATTTCAACAATTGTCAAAGAAGACTGGTCATGTGGTGAAGAAAATTATGTTGAAGAAGAGAGAAAGATACACGTAATATTTTTAAGCATAAAAAAATCTCGTTCTGCAATACTGCATTAAGTTCCCTTAGAACGATAATCTCATTTATTTGAAAAATACAATTTTTATTCTTCACTACCTCTTTTCTTTCTTTTATTCTCCACTATTACGATTTCGATTTTCATTTTAACACGCATTTCTTCTTTAGTATTTGAAAGCGTTTGGAAACCCTCAAGTGATATTTGTTTCCCTATTGATGTTATAATCAACTTTGCAAGATATTTTCTTTCTCCTTACTGTGTGTCTTCGCGATGTAATTTGAAACATATGCAGCCAACAATCCGAAGGTCTGAAGATCGAATCTCGGTGAAGGAATTTCTCAATTTTTACGCCTCCAGCTCCGAAAACAATACCTAACGGTGTCCGTAATTTACTGAGAATAATAATTTGATGAATACAAGTTTAGAATGGAATTAAAAATCCTCGAATAAACAATACAGAAGAAGTGAATTCCAGTGGAAGTTATTTTAAGCCTTCATATAGCTTACGTTTTTGCTACTGGTAATTGATTAGTAGTGTATCACTCATGTAATCAACTAGTAAATTTTATAGGGAGAAAAATAAAGAATAAAATGAAGGTTTTTCTTTTTATTGCGCTTGTTCTAGCTTTTTAACATTTTTTGAAACAGAAAATGGAGCTTTGATTACCGATGACTAATTTATTTATATAACCGGTTCACTTGAAGAAAAATTTAAATTATTTTAACGAAAGGGCTTTTTTAAGGAAATGGCTTATAGTAAAGTAATTGACGTACTGGCTTTTACTAGAAATTAAAGTGATTTCTCCCTCTTTT